CATTTTTTGGATACCTGACCAAAACTCAAAGGCCCAACCTTCGATGCTTGGAAGGAAGATGATTCAATGATCATCCCATGGCTCTAAAGTTCCATGGCTCCAAAAATCAGTAAGACCGTGATGTTTGTCTACAATAAAATAAGTGTCGGATGCAATCAATGAGACCTACTCTATTATCAAGGATGCAAAACAGATTTATAACCTGACTATAAAGACATGTTCCACCAAGTAATGAAACAGGTCAGTCAATAAATTTGCTGTAAAAAAATGACGGCAGGAACTAGACCAGTACCATGTTTTAACATGATTGCAGCAAAAATACACTCTGCCAAAACAAATTTGTGGAAAAACATTTTGCCTATTAGTTTCTGCCAGAACTAAATCCTGAATATGATCAAATAAGGATTCAAATCTTAGGAAATGAGGAATACAACCCCTCCATGAGGTAATTTTCAGTGTAACTGCAGAGGAGAGCAGGAAAAGGATCATGCTAGAACCACTCGGCCATAGTCTCATGAGGCTCCAGATTTCGCCAACAAAAAAAGGAATTGAGTCAGACCAAGAATTCGTTATCTGTAGCGGATAACAAGGATAATCTTTGTTGCATTTTTTACAAGAAACCCATACATACCAAAGGAAAATGTAGAAAACTGCATGACAATCCCAATACCTCCAGCAACGAATGGGGAAACAAAACTATTCCCCAGAAAACTCCCAAACATTTTCATGGGGTCAACCAGCAGGAGGAAGAGAAATATGCTGATCTCACTGTTTAAGGGCTAAAATTGAACGACTGGCAAAAGTTGATTGGAGGATCTTGAGAAACAACAGGCACAGGCGTAGTAAAGCGCTTAACTATGTTTTTCTTTTCACATAATACGAATGCTTCAAATAAACTATTTGAAAATTCATAAATTATAAACTAGGAGCCACTGATCATATGAACAATACTTGTAAACACTTTCATACATATGTTTCTTATCCAAGTAAGAAAATTACCATTGCAAATAGTTCTCCCAATACCATTGCGATTAAGGACAACATTAAGCTTAGTCATACTCAAATCCTAAAAATGTGTTAAATGTTCTCAAACTGTATATTAATCTTATGTCAGTCAATAGGTTATCACAAGATTTGAACTGAAAAGTAACATTTGTCTCTTTTCACTATGACTTTTAGGATTAGAACTCGGAGAAAATGATTGAACATGCTAAAACCAGAAACGTACTCTACTAATTGGATGCACATGAGATATCTTTCTCTACTGTTATTACCGACCCTAAACACAAGTTTTGACACTACCACAAAGGATTTCGGCACCCATCATTTACCATTTTAAATCTTATATTTTCCTTCTTATTTAAAAATTTACATTACAGAGATTTACAATGCAACATATGTGAGTTTGCTAAACATAAACGTGTAAGATTTCCTATTAGTAATAAAAGAAGTTTAGTTCATTTTTTATTAATGCATAGTGATATTTGGAGATTGATTCAAACACTTAATATTTTATGGGATTTGATGATTTGTGATCATTAATTGACAACTACACTAGAGTCACTTGGCTTTTTTTTTACTCAAAACCAAATATGATATTAAGCATATAATACCCAATTTCGCAACATGATAAAGACCCAATTTGGAATCTGCACAGAAAGATATTGAACCGACAACACCAAAGACTTTTTTTACCACATACTTTCATCATTCTTCACCAAGAATTTATAAATCATTTTGGATCACACTCCACAATAAAACAAAGTAGAAAATGTAAGAATAATCACCTTCTAGCCACTACTAGAGTCTTCCTCTTCCAAAATCACTTCCAACAACAATATTGGCACTAAAAGTCCTCACTGCCACCTAAATATTAGCAGCTTCCCTCCAATGTTCTAGACTTCAAAAGCTCTCTAGAAGCAGTTTCCAAGTTTTACCTAGAAAATAGTTTACAATCATATGGTCCCTCGGGTATTTGAGTGTGTAACTTTATCATATCATTTTATCAAAGAGAAAAACTTGATCCCTAGTCTGAAATGTGTATTTGTGGAATACTCTTTTTCAAAAAAGGTACAAACATTACCATATGTCCACTTGTCCACAGATGTCACATTGTGAACAAAAATCATATTTACTAGACCATATATTCAGCAGATACCCACATTGAAAGATAAGAATACAGATCTCTTAACTAACTTTACCATACCGTTTTTGCCACGCACTCCAACATTACCACCACAAGAAAACCTTCAAAACCCACTAGAATTACCCACTCGAGAGACTATGACTGATCTTAGGTTCAGACAAGTGTATA